GAAGAAGTGCAGGGTGGAGGGCAGGGGCTCCAGTACCAGCAGGGACAGGTACACTGGTACGTCAGGCAGGTACACTGTACCTGTACTGGTTGAAGAAGTGCAGGGTGGAGGGCAGGGGCTCCAGTACCAGCAGGCTCAGGTACACTGGTACGTCAGGCAGGTACACTGTACCTGTACTGGTTGAAGAAGTGCAGGGTGGAGGGCAGGGGCTCCAGTACCAGCAGAGGCAGGTACACTGGTACGTCAGGCAGGTACACTGTACCTGTACTGGTTGAAGAAGTGCAGGGTGGAGGGCAGGGGCTCCAGTACCAGCAAGGACAGGTACACTGGTACGTCAGGCAGGTACACTTGTGGCATGAAGTCTGAGAAGCGAAGCTCACGGTACCGTCCCGACCAAGGCTCCTCCGCTGCAAACCGTAAATATTTATATAAATATTTATATTTATATACAAATATACCTATAAATTTCCTAACCAATGCAAGTAAAACATTTGCTGCAAACCGTTTAAATATTTACAATCAATTTTATATTTATATACAAATATACCTATAAATTTCAATGTATGAGAGCAAGTAAAACTTTTGCTGCAAACCGTATATATTTATAATCATATTTATATTTATATACAAATATACCTATAAATTTCCTAACCAATGCAAGTAAAACATTTGCTGTAAACCGTTAATATTTATAATATAGATATTTATATTTATAGATATATATATAAATTTCAATGTATACAAAAGAAGTAATATAGGTATATTTCAAAGTGTTCAAACCATATACCTAAAAGTGGTGATATCAATATATTTTGTATATTTATTGAATCATTTTCAACATATTTTTTAACGAGGCTAAATCAACAAAAATGTCACTACCTTCACTGGCATAACAATTATTAATTCAAGTCTAGACCTCAGCCAAAGCTTCATATCATTTACTACCATAAATGTTGACACGATATTATCAATAAACATTATCATTAACATTTAGCATTATCTGTAACATTTAGCATTATCTGTAACATTTAGCATTATCTGTAACATTTAGCATTATCAGTAACATTTAGCATTATCTGTAACATTTAGCATTATCTGCAACATTTAGCATTATCANACTGACTGGCTGCTGGCATGATAATGATAATCATTGCCACTCACTGACTGGCTGCTGGCATGATAATGATAATCATTGCCACTCACTGACTGGCTGCTGGCATGATAATGATAATCATTGCCACTCACTGACTGGCTGCTGGCATGATAATGATAATCATTGCCACTCACTGACTGGCTGCTGGCATGATAATGATAATCATTGCCACTCACTGACTGGCTGCTGGCATGATAATGATAATCATTGCCACTCACTGACTGGCTGCTGGCATGATAATGATAATCATTGCCACTCACTGACTGGCTGCTGGCATGATAATGATAATCATTGCCACTCACTGACTGGCTGCTGGCATGATAATGATAATCATTGCCACTCACTGACTGGCTGCTGGCATGATAATGATAATCATTGCCACTCACTGACTGGCTGCTGGCATGATAATGATAATCATTGCCACTCACTGACTGGCTGCTGGCATGATAATGATAATCATTGCCACTCACTGACTGGCTGCTGGCATGATAATGATAATCATTGCCACTCACTGACTGGCTGCTGGCATGATAATGATAATCATTGCCACTCACTGACTGGCTGCTGGCATGATAATGATAATCATTGCCACTCACTGACTGGCTGCTGGCATGATAATGATAATCATTGCCACTCACTGACTGGCTGCTGGCATGATAATGATAATCATTGCCACTCACTGACTGTCTGCTGGCATGATAATGATAATCATTGCCACTCACTGACTGGCTGCTGGCATGATAATGATAATCATTGCCACTCACTGACTGGCCGCTGGCATGATAATGATAATCATTGCCACTCACTGACTGGCTGCTGGCATGATAATGATAATCATTGCCACTCACTGACTGGCCGCTGGCATGCGGGTCATGAGTGGTGGTCAGCAGCTCTGGAGAAGGTTTAAAATTAGTTAATGAGTTTTAATGTAGTTCGGCAACAGGCCATGGGCCTATTTCTTCAGCGCCGACACTTCTATTCTAATAATGCGAAGTAACGAGTTAGTAAATTAATAAGTCTACACAGCTCATTAAGGGGAGCATGTAGGTCAAAAATTTTGGATTTTGGCTTCTCCGGTTTTTAGTCTCATCTTAAAGCTGACCTATCCAACGGTACCAAAACCATCTTTGTATGTTGATTTATGCGTTCACTACAGATCCCGTAAGGGGGGAGGTGTCCGGGCCCTTCAGTAAAGTTAAGGCGTAAATTACACGGCAAGACACCATAAAGGGGATCGTCTGACGTGAAGCGGCCAAATATGACATTCTCCAGTTCTTATACTCAACTTAAAGCTGCTTTTCTGACGCATTCAACGGTACCATTACCATCTCAGTACGTTGATTTTATGCGTTCACGACACATCCGAAAGGGAGGGGGGCGGGAGAGTTCTTTAACAAATAAGATAGGGGGAAATTAGCTTCCGAGCACTTAAATAGAGTGTGTGCACGAGCTGCACCTCAGTTACACGCCTGGCGTCGCACGAGGTGTGCATGCAGTCGCTCTCACCATCCTTGACTGGAATCAAGCTCCAGTAACGTTTAGTTTCGTATCCTTGCTACATTGAGTGCCTATTGCGATGCGCGCGGGAGTTTGTCGCGCTCTGCTGAATATTCACACTTATTGTCATGGCAAACCTATCTCCTCCTATAGTTTTTAAGCTACAGCGATGAGAGATACACCATTCAATTCGTAATGAAAAGATCTAGAGATTGTCGAGCCATTTTTTTCGTTTTAGTTTGGATTATATATTGCAAAATGGGGGAGGAGGGGGGGGGGAAATTTCGAAAATTCGAAATTTACCAGAAAAATCATCATAACAAGAGAACCAAGAAAAAATTGAAAAAGTGGCCCATCAATTACTAGATATTGTCTTTACAAATCGAATGATACGTGTCTCGATGTTGCGTAGCACGATATTTGTATGAGATACATTTTTTTTAAAGTAGTTAGGCCGTTTTCTATGAATTTCACGTTTTCCTTCATTTTTTTTTTTTGAACAATTCACACAACAAAATAGTCGTCATTTTCGATTTTACATATGTGTACCAAGTTTGGAGATGATCCTTCCCTAAGTATAGAAAATAGATTTTGACCTACATGCTCCCCGGCCATACGGCTAAATTAAAATTGTTAAACAAAGTCTGTTCTTACAGGTGCAGCATTTTCCAGGGCCTTCCTTATAGCGGAGGTTTAAAAAATTTGCAAAGCAAGTGAAAAATTATGGAAATGTTTTGCATTCTTGGATCTTCACAAAATTCTATATCAATTGTTAACAATTTCAGACAAATTTCGGTTATCTAAAATAATATCAGAAGTCCAGCTTGAAGGAAAAAAATTTCATCATTTGAAAAAGTTCTGCAAGATTCTAGATTCACTTACGTTCAACAGAAATAACTTCATAGCTCTGATATAATACATACAATGTAATATAAATAACATTACTCTTATATATTACACTGTACTATACCTAGTCGAAACCTGACTTGTCAATCTGTCTAAATTATGACACACTTTCTTACCCAGCCCTAGCAATGCGGGCTCAGCACTGATATAATCTTTTGGCAAACTAAAATGGGTCAGGATGACTCACATAAGCCCGCAAACTCCCCCGCTATTTGTTCAAAGTTAAGCACATTTCTCTCACAGTGTCACTCGTAACAATGACGGCAAACTTCATAATAATAATAATAGCGGTTTCAGCGTTATTAGGTCGTAGGCCTGTCGCCGATTCTTAACACATCGCAGAACATTCACAGCTCATTGCGGTCTCAAACTTGCAACTCACTGCTACAATTCTGCTGTGCTTAACCGCCCGGCCTCCTCGCCGATTCTGACCAGAAACTGGCGCACAGAGCTGGGATTGAACCCGCACCTCTCTGCGCCAATCCTGGTACTCTGAACTGTAACCACTGGGCCACCCTGCCCAGTGGCCCAGTGTACTTTCCAACCATTTTTATTTTCATTAGTTATAAACGTGATCCTATTCCGGCTCCTTTTCTATTGTTTACAAATATTTTTCATAGAAACTTAGACGCATAAAATAACCTCTGAATGATACTGTGAAAAATCTCCATCCCAAACTTTTTTTCATTAGTTATAAACGTAATACTATTCCGGCTCCTTTTCTATTGTTTACAAATATTTTTCATAGAAACTTAGACATATAAAATAACCTATGAAAGACAATGTGAATAGCCTCCGTCTCATTTAAATTATTATATTACTAATTTGTTATTACTAATTAATAACGAATTAGTAATTCATTCAGCGGCTGTAACTGTTGGAACCGAGCCTACAGGTAGGAATAGCATTGCCGGCGGTTAATACATCGTACATCGTAGATAAAGAAGTGACTCACTCAGAAAATAAATGGGTCATAAAGTCCAAATAGTAACACTTTATGCATGTAACACTGGTACGTCCTTTGTCCAGGCTAAACTGAGTCACGACGACCCACGTAATGGCAAAAAGAGTATAGATACAGTTGGACAATTCGCTCAAGTTTCTTGCTTTCGCAGAAAATGACATTTTACTTTTTCATTTTTCACAGAAAATGACATTTTACTTTTTCATTTTTCGCAGAAAATGACATTTAATATTCTCACGGTCAAATATTCTCACGGTCATATATTCTCACGGTCATATATTCTCACGATCAAATATTCTCACGATGCAAATACCCTCAAGATTTAAGGGAATGTACCATGTACACGCGCCCTAGCAGTCATGCCGACCGTACACATCAAACAATATTATATGTCGTTAGACAATAAATAAGACGTACTTTCTTGGGGCTCCATGACAGAAACCTGCTCATGTTCTTCCTTGTGAAGCTCATGGCTCAGGAGGCGACAGAGCCACTCACTTCTTTACAAGTTCACTATACGAAACACGTTTAGTTGCTTATTCAAAGTTCATTATACCAAGTTGGCTTTGACTCAATCGTTATCATCATAAGTTCGATCTTTCGTATAGGCTATGCTAAGTAGGCTGTGCCAAGTAGGCTGTGCACAAAGTATTCTGTGCAAAGTAGGCTGAGCCAGGTAAGCTATTTCTTGTAGGCAATACGAGTAGGTGCTTCTAATTAACTATTTTTTATATGCACGTTCATGTTCGAGAACGTGACAGGATATTGAAGCAACGTATAACGGTAAACAGGCAATTAGAACACCGTAACAGTTGAACAGTATATTAAGAGCACCGTAACAGTTGAACTGTTTATTAAGAACCCCGTATCAGTTGAACAGTATATGGGAGCACCGTAACAGGTCTGTTTCCAGGAAGGACTAGCAAGAACCACTGCCGTGGCAAAGCAGGTGCCACGACAGGTGCAGTGACACTTGCCGTACACCTGCACTACAGCTGATTCACCTGCCTCACTCAGCTGACTCATGCGTCCAGTTCAACGTCTGCATCAACAAGCGAATGTCTGCATCAACAACTCAACATCAGACATTAAAGACGCGTCCAGTTCAATTTGTCTGCATCAACAAGAGAACTTGTGCACTCAACATCAGATATTAAATGTAAGAACTAAGAACCTTAAGAACTAATGTCTGCATCAACAAGCGAATACGTGCACTCAATATCAACTATTAAAGGTAAGAACTAAGAACCTTAAGAACTAAGAACCTGAACTTAACCTTAAGAACCTAAGAACTAAAACCCTGTAAGAACCTTAACTAGAATGAACATATTAGAATTTTCAGTCTTTGCCTTAGCTTCAAATTAGTGCCCGATACGGTATAGTGGGTACAGTACCGTGCACGGTATAGTGCGTACAGTGTCGTGCACGGTATAGTGCGTACAGTGCCGTGCGCGGTATAGTGCGTACAGCGCCGTGCACGGTATAGTGCGTACAGTACCGTGCACGGTATAGTGCGTACAGTACCGTGCACGGTATAGTGCGTACAGTACCGTGCACGGTATAGTGAAGCCTGCTGAACGCTAGCCTACTGAACGCTAGCCTGCTGAACGCTAGCC